TTGTTTGGGTAAATAGTTAATTCAGGATTGTCCCTTTATTTTTTCTCCTTTGATCAATGCCAGAGCCTCCCAGGGCTGGGGTTCTAATCTGTGGTTCTGGAGTCAGAGAGGTGGGGCAGGAAAGCCATGGACCATAGTGCTACTGGCTCATCATCTGGATCCAGAGGGAGGTGAAGGTGGGATTCCTTCCTTCCTTACCTCTCCAAGCAAGCCCTACATGAGCATGAGGAGGCATCCACCTGTTAGAAAAGATATATTTTAGTACACCACAAAAGGCTCTGGCAGATCAACCAGCCAGGGCTGGTTGATCCATGGTATTCCTCAGTAGAAGTCAACAACGACAGAGATAAGATTCCTCTCATGTGTGTTGGCTGAATGACTTTTCAGGAAATGACCGGTTCATCAGAGAAGTCATGAAGACTGCACATTTCCACCAAAGAACATTTTTATGTTCTTAGGGCTAAAGAACTTAATAGATAATGAAATAATATGAGTTCCTTGTTGGATTTTGTATGTCTTTGCTTCTTAAAAATTCATAAATGTCTTTTTCAAGGGACTTTACCTAGGTGATAATCCTGAATATGGTCTTAATTTCTTCGAACAGATGGAAGAATTAGTTAATTTACAACCTCATCTTAAATGGGAGAGATCATCTCTTTAAAGTCAAGTGCTCCATTACATAGCAACCACAGGTGGGGTTCATGCATCCTCTCTACTCCTGCTCCTTCGTTATGAAGCTTCTCCAGGGAAGTCATAGATCTCACTGTTCATCAATTCTCTTCTAATCTAGGCTTCATAGTTTGTGCTTTCTTCTTCAAGTTCTGGATAGTGACTGATTATATTTCCAAAATGGACACCTTAATAGCTCTCATTTCACAAGGTCCTCTAACCATGTGATTCTCTCACTCCTTCATCAAGAGGTGGAGACTGACTCTCCTCTTTTTGAATCTGGATAAGTTAGTGACATGTTCGGTGTAGGGGAAGTGATACTGGATAACTTCCCAAACTAAGTCACAAAGGTGATGCTCATCCTCCTTGTTCACTGGAACATACACGTGTGTGAAGTGTTGAGCTGCCTTTGAAGAAGTCAATATACAGCAGGGCATGCCTTGCAATCCCAGAGGCAGATGCAGGAGCATCATGAGTTCAAAGCCAGTCTCAGCATCTCAGCAAGGCCCTAAGCAACATAGTGAGACCTTGTCTCAAAATAAAAAAACAAAAATGGCTAGGGATATGGCTCAGTGTTAAAGTGCCCCTGGGTTTAATCCCAGTACCAAAAAAATAATAATAATAATAAATAAAAAAGGAAGTCAGTACACTATGAAGCCAGAAATGTCTATGGAAAGATGAAAATCTACACAGGAAGTCCATGCAAAGATGCTGTGGTCTTCAAGTTGTCCCCACTGTACTACTTCTCTAGGGCTGCTATAACATGGTAAAGCTGTCCCCTCATATCTGCAGGGAATTGGGTCCAGAAACTCCTGCAGATACCAAAATCCACAGATTACAAAGTTCCTTATGTAGAAGGATACAACATTGGGCTGGGGTTGTGGCTCACTGGTAGAGTGCTTGCCTAGCATGTGTGAGGTCCTGGGTTTGATTCTCAGCACTGCATATAAATAAATGAATAAAATAAAGGCCCATCAACAACTAAAAATATATATTTTAAAAAAGGATATAGCATTTACACATAACCTATGCACATCCTCCCGTATATTTAAAATAATCTCTAGATTATTTATAATACTCAATACAATAGAAATATGATATAAATAGTTATTATACTATATTATTTAGGGAATGGCAAGAAAAAAATCTTTGTGCATGTTCAGTACAGAAACAATTTTTCCCAGATATTTTCAGTTAGTGGTTGGTTGAATCTATTAATGAAGGACCCTCATTAGTAGATAGAGGGTGAACTGTAATGTGCACTGTGTGGCTTAAGTCATCAGAGTTGATTCCACCGAGGACTGGGATATAGAACCTGTCCCCTGCCTCTGTCCTGGCTCCTGGGGGTTTGCTGGCATTCCTGGGCTTCTGCTCCATCACCAGTCTCTGCCTAGATTTTTAAATGGTATCCTATGTGTATGTGTGTGTATATCCCGATTTCCCCTCCTCATGAGGACACCCATCATATTGGATTAAAGACAACACTGCTCCAGTATGACCTTAATTCTTGTGTTGGATATTGGATATGATTAGAATGTGCTAGAAGCTTTGTCCTCCTGTGGTGATGCGGAAGTGGTAGAACCTTTAAGAGGTGGGCCTAGTGGAAGGTGTTTAGGTCATTAGGGGTGCTCCCCTGGTACCCTGGTGAACAACCAGGACCCTGAATTCCTCTGGCTTCCTATATTTTCATGTGAGCATGAAGCTGACTCCCTTTCCATTTCTCTGCAGTGTTATGACTCAGCAAAGGGGTCCCTTACCAGAGGCTGAAAGGATGGGGCTGCCATATCTTGGACTTTCAGCTTCTCAAACAGTGAGCTAAATAAACCTCTTTTCTCTATGAAGTACCCAGTTTCATAAATTTTGTTATGCAGCAGAAAATGGACTAATACAATCCTAATTTAAGTAATGACACATGCCACAGTCTCATCCAAGACTGTAACGTTCTGTGACACTGAGGTTTACAGCATCAAGAAATGAGTTTGCGAGGAACATAATTCAGTCCTTAAAATCAACTTGGGTATCAGACAAGTGAATAAAAAACCTTATCTGACTACAGAGAAAAATGGTCCCCATGGTGCTCTTTCCAAACTCCTGACCAGTGGGATCTATACCAGTTTCCTAAAAGTGCCATAACAAATTACCAGAGTCTGGGAGGCTTAAACAACAGAAATTTATTTTCTCAAAGTTCTGGAGGCTAGAAGCCCAAGATGCATGTGCAGGCAGAATTGGTTCCTTCTGAGAATTGCTCCTTGGCTCCTGGATGGCTGTCTTCTCCCTGAATTTTCACTCTGTAAGTGTCCTTGTTCAAATTTTTCTCAAAAAGACACATGTTCTATGGGAATGAAGCCAGTCTTTCCTACTTTCCTCGTGCATAGTATTTGGCTTCTTTTTGATGGTGCTAATCTCTTTAGCACCCACCCCTTGTTGGCGCTAACTTCAAATATGCTCCTTTTTCTAGCGAAACCATAGGAAGTGAAGCTGCGATTCAGTCAGTGTCACATTCTCAACCATTAAGAGCAAAGTCCTGAGTGAAGGCATTGCAGGACAGTACCATGCATTTGCTTGCTCAGCAAGCACTTATTAAGCACTTACTGCTGCTATGTGCTCTAGGGAGGAGGATGATCTGAATCCAGCCCCTTCCCTCCTGTAGCTAAAGTTTGATGGGGGAATCTGATACTTAATTATTCACTAAAATATGGTGTCATAAATGTTGCAGGAAGGAAGAGTATAGTGCTGTGGGAATGTCACATGCTTGAAAATCAGGAGAGGCTTTTCCAAGATAGAGAATAAACTCCCATCTGAAGGAGGTATGGAGTTGGCTTACACACAAGTCAGAGGAAAAATCAAGTCCAGGATGATAGAGTAGCACATGTGTGGGTGGCCAGACAGGTCCAGGACTTGGATACTCTTTAAGATTTGAAGTTGCCAAGTTAGTAGGCAGGAGGTCATAGGCAGGAGGTCACAGGGGGTGATGAGGGCCTGGTGGGTTAGGTAGAGAAACACTGAGAATGTGAGTGAAGGGTTCAAGACAGACCTCATACCTGGAGCTGCTTCCCCTGGCAAGGATAAACCCCTAGACACAGGGAGCTCCCGACTCAACCAGGCCTCAACCCTGTCCCTGTAATGGCTTGGAACAATACTAACATAGTTTCTAACAGCTCAAGGCACGTCTCTAGGAGTCCCCCACCCCCTACCAAAGTGCTTGCTGGAAAGCTCAAGGCTGCCAGGGAAATGTACGGTTCAAACCAACACCCAAAGCTGGGCTCTACCACCCTCATGTGTAGCTTTTACTAGAAAGGTCTTATGATTGTGAATCCTTTCTCTGTGACCTTTGCCATGCACATGTATCTCTTGCAATTCAGAGTGTCTTTCTCCAGGACATGAAAGCTACTCCTTTCAATGTAATCATCAGGAGGGATGGAGCCCCTCTGGGGGAACAGAATCCTTACTTCCTTAAGGGCCGGCCAGCACCAGAGCTGGCCCAATCACATCCCCACAGACAACCCTGCTGAGCCTCACTGCCTCTCCTCCCTGCTCCCTCATTTTCCCTTAAAAATTCCCAGTTGTGTCTGACAAGTCCAAGTTGAGTTCAGTTCACACTGGACTCTTTTCCCTATTGTAATAGTTACCCCTGACGAAAATCTGACTTTACCACTTTAATGAGGGCCTGGCTTTGTTTATCTTTGACAACAGTCCTGCCTATAACAAGCTCACTGGGCTGAATTCCTTTATTATGAACAGTTGCTTACAGTGTGAGAGCCCCCACAGTCCAGCACCCTGGGCCACTACAAAGTAGGCTGGAACTCCTGGGCCCAGCATGGCTTGCCATACCTCTGTGCAGAACAAGAAACTGCTGGCTCACTGAAAACAGAGCACATTTATAAACAGGAAGCTGAGTGTGTGACCACAGACATTTAGCATCTGATAGCAATTGCTGAATGTGGTGGGGGAAGAAAATTTGAATTAAAAAAAACAAACACACACACACACACACAAACTGCCACTAAATAAGAAGTCCCTAGCTCATGGAAACACAATCTTCCTATGGGTCATTTATTAAACGCTTAAATAAGGAGAGTTCTTATTTGGTTAAACCAAGTTGGTAAGTCAGGCAGGCTGAAGTATTTTATGGTGTCCCTCAGAGTGTGTGGTTTTCTCTTTTTATTCTTCTCTTCTCTCCCTAAGCAAAGCAAAAGGGCTCTTTGGTGAGATTTTGGTGTCCTGTGTAGAAGAGATTTGTTTACCTATGAGCTCTGATAGTCTGCCCACCCCACGCCTGGAGCTCTGTGATAGCACAAGTGATGGTCACTGCTGTACAAACACCAGCAGGGCCAACCTGGGCACAGACTGGACAGTGCAGGGTTCAAACTTGCTTGGATCCAGCATGGTAAAGAGCGTGTGAGAAGACTGGACTCTTCTGAGTTTCAGCGGCCCTGGAAGAGGCTCAGTTTATTTAGCGATGGTTGGCAGTTATGGGGTTGGTTTCTAGCAAGCTGACCCAAGAAAAGAATCTGATGATTATTTTCTAAAAGTTTATCCTCTGGGAATTGACACCATTGCTGCTTTTGCCATCAGGATAGAGGTCTCAGCGATGTTTGGAATCTGTCCCCTTCCCTTCCATGGAGTCAGCCTATGGATGATAACAGCACGGTGCCTGATTCACAGTAAGTTCCCAGTGGGGTGTGACCATCAGTGTTATATGCACTGTTTATTTAACTTTCACAATAACCTCAGGAGATAGGTTTTGGCAACCTGAGTGGATAAATATTGTAATGTCCTTATAGAATCAGAAAGAAGTGTGTCTAGGACTATGGCTCATGTGTACCTGGTTCAGAGCACAGCCATTTACCTAACTTGTCACTGAAGTTTCCATTCATGCTGTGTCTCTTACTTAATATTGACATTGTAATTAGTAGTGATAATATTCAAGTATTATTACACAGTAGAAAACCCTATTTGGCTATTGATCAGCACCTCACAGAGCAGCTGATAGTAATTGCTCCTCTATTATTTACAAAGAAAATGTTCTGCCAGAATTTGCAAACAGCAGTGATTGTGTCCTCCAAGTGCCATGGACAACATATTACTATTGATAGTGCTAATAAAAACTACCTTTTTAAATATACATTTTGTTGTTGACAGATTTTTATTTTATTTAATGTGGTGCTGAGGATCGAACCCAGTGCCTCTCACATGCCTGGCAAGTGTTATACCACTAATCCACAACCCTGGCCCCTAAAAGCTGTCTTTTATAGAATATTTATGATGTGCTTGATATGTTTAGTGCTATAACATTCCATATAGATTCAAAACAACCTTTTGCCATAGATGTTATTATTAGCTCCATTGTACAGATGAGGTTCAGAAATGCTAAACTAGATTTCAATCCAAGCCAAATGATACCAGAACTCCCTGTTTTCTCCAGGCATGCTATACCCTAGGACCCTGGGGTTTTATTTATTTAAGAGCAGGTTGCAGTTTCTTTGTTTCATCAGAGACTGAAGAAAGGACTGAGCAACGACAGTTACTACAGACTTTCTTAAGATTTGCCAGAAGCAGTCCCTGACACAGGCTTCTGTCACTGATTTGTAAAGGAGGTACTCATAGTAAAGAGGAGGAGAAATGGGACTGCAAGAGGAGGAAGCCAAGCCAGAGTGCAATGTCAGGCCCAGTCCTGAAGAGGGAAGCTTCCACCTGACCCTACAGGAAGCTCTGGAGTTTAAGTTCTGGCTGAGTTTGTCCACACAGAGAGCAAGAGAGCTGGGTATTGAAAGAGGTAAGTGTAGAGTCAGCCAAGACAGCCAAGCCCTCTACTGAAGGGCTGTCCTCAGGGCATATGCATTCTCATGCATTTCTAACTTTCCTTCCTGAGGCCAATAGCCTGAGGGAGATCCTCAAAGAGAATTCCAAGTCTGAGCCTTAGGAGCAAGCCACAGAGCCCTGTGATCCACAGAAACAGCCCTAGCACAGGACTGGTACAGGTTGCATCCACATACTGTAAGTAGGGCTGTTTCTGTGGATCACAGCAAGCTTTATCTACCAGAACAAGAGTGTCTTTCTCCTGTAAATAGAGCCTGAAGAAAAGCAATCTGTATGGGGGTCTCTAGTAGGGGCTGACAAATTTAGTCTTCAGCCTTCTTTCGCGCAGCTTTCCAACTAAGAACTAGTTTTACATTTTTAAATGGTTTAAAATAAGTCAATAGAAGCATATATTTTGTGATATGGGAAAATTATTGAAATTCATATTTTTAGGTCCATAAATAAAATCTTAGTGGAACATATTTCCTATGACTGTTTTCATTCTAAATGGCATCATTGATTAGTTATGTCAGAGACCCATATGCTCCACAAAGCTGAAAGCATCTACTATCTGACCCTTTACCGAAAAGGTTGGCCTGGTTCTTCTTCTTTAGTGTTAGAGAACTAGGCTTTCATTCTGCTGCTGCTCTACCATTCTATTATTATTATTATTATTATTATTATTATTATTATTATTTTGTAGTTGTACATGGACAGCATGCCTTTGTTTTATTTATTTATTTTTTAATATGGTACTGAGGATCGAACTCAGTGCCTCACATGTGCTAGGCAAGCACTCTACCCCTGAGCTATAGTCCCCTCCTGCTCTTAACATGTGCTTTCACCTCATGGCCCAAGACAGTTCCTTAAGCTCTAGCCATTGTCTGTATTTAAGCCACTGCAAAAGAGAACGAAGAATTCGATTTCTCCATTCAAAATAGTTTTTTCTCAGCAAAAGAAACAATAAGAGAGGTAAATAGGGAGCCTACATCCTGGGAACAAATCTTTACTCCTCACACTTCAGATAGAGCCCTAATATCCAGAGTATACAAAGAACTCAACAAATTAAACAATAAGATAACAAATAACCCAATCAACAAATGGGCCAAGGACCTGAACAGACACTTCTCAGAGGAGGACATAAAATCAATCAACAAGTACATGAAAAAATGCTCACCATCTCTAGCTGTCAGAGAAATGCAAATCAAAACCACCCTAAATTACCATCTCACTCCAGTAAGATTGGCAGCCATTAGGAAGTCAAACAACAACAAGTGCTGGCAAGGATGTGGGGGAAAGGGTACACTTGTACATTGCTGGTGGGACTGCAAATTGGTGCGGCCAATTTGGAAAGCAGTATGGAGATTTCTTGGAAAGCTGGGAATGGAACCACCATTTGACCCAGCTATTCCCCTTCTCGGTCTATTCCCTAAAGACCTAAAAGGAGCATACTACAGGGACACTGCTACATTGATGTACATAGTAGCACAATTCACAATAGCAAGACTGTGGAACCAACCTAGATGTCCTTCAATAGACGAATGGATAAAAAAAATGTGGCATTTATACACAATGGAGTATTACTCTGCATTAAAAAATGACAAAATCATAGAATTTACAGGGAAATGGATGGCATTAGAGCAGATTATGCTAAGTGAAGCTAGCCAATCCCTAAAAAACAAATGCCAAATGTCTTCTTTGATATAAGGAGAGTAACTAAGAACAGAGTAGGGAGGAAGAGCATGAGAAGAAGATTAACATTAAACAGGGATGAGAGGTGGGAGGGAAAGGGAGAGAGAAGGGAAATTGCATGGAAATGGAAGGAGACCCTCAGGGTTATACAAAATTACCTACAAGAGGAAGTGAGGGGAAGGGGAAAAAAAACAAGAGAGAGAAATGAATTACAGTAGATGGGGTAGAGACAGAAGATGGGAGGGGAGGGGAGAGGAGCGGGGATAGTAGGAGATAGGAAAGGCAGCAAAATACAACAGACACTAGCATGGCAATATGTAAAAACGTGGATGTGTAACCAATGTGACTCTGCATTCTGTATATGTGGTAAAAATGGGAGTTCATAACCCACTTGAATCAAATATATGAAATATGATATGTCAAGAGCATTGTAATGTTTAGAACAACCAATAAAAAAAACCTTCTGAGAATCACACTCTGTATCACACATTGTATGTGACCAGAAGTTAGTTTCCTTACCATATCTAGTAACCTTACCTATAAAACCTTGCTCCAAAATCTATGAGCTCAACAAAAAAATTAGTATTTCATTTTTAAGGAAAAAAGAGGAATATATGTCTTGAGACTATTTGCAGTTCTGCCTCACCTAGGTAAGAGTATCAAAATAAGAAAATTTGAAAGAATATTATGTAATAACACAAGGTATAAGAAAAACCAAGTTGTCTAACTTTTTACATTTTGATTACAATGTTTCTTCTCACAGATCCAATCATTTCCCCTAGTCTTTAACAGCAGGATATCAAATTGAAACACCCTAGTTTCCTTCCTTCTTGCCAGCATTTTGTTCCTACAAAAAGAAACAAGTGACCAAATAAAAAAGATTAAAAAGTAGACTTATCCAATATTACCACAAATAGACAGAGGAAGACTGCGGTCAGAGGCCCTTACAGTTCTCATTGAGACCACTGCAGCAGCCTCCTTTGCAACCATGCAACGGAGGGTCCAGACTTCTTGCCCAAACGTCTACCCTTGGCACATCTGCCCAAATTCCTGTTTTTATCTGTCTACTATGCATAGATCACCATATTGATTCCTGTTTGCTTCCAGCAGGTGAAAGCCCTTCTCTCCTGTGTATCTTCTGAGGCCTTCTGCCTAATCCTTGGGCATCAGAAATTGCTGTTTGCACCTTGCTCTTCATATTCCACAAATATCACACTCCTGGGAGGAGTTGTTGCTCCTCTTCTTCTTCCTCCTCTTCCTCTTCCAACTCCTCTTCTTCTTCTAAATATATTTAATTATCAAAAGAAACTTTGTTTAATTTATTTATTTATATGTGGTGCTGAGAATCCAACCCAGTGCCTCACACATGCCAGGAAAATGCTCTACCACTAAGCCACAACCCCAGCCCTGGAATTGAACTTCTATATTTAGATTCTAGGGGCTACATGAAGGATAGTTTCTGGGTTCCCTGTTGTCACCAGCATCCTTATACCCAATTCCCACTTTAAACCTAAACCGGTGGTTCTCAAATCGGACCAATTTTTTTGCCCCCAACAGACACTTGGCAACATCTGGAGATATTCTTTTAATTGTCATGACTGAGGCAGGTGGAGTATATGATTGGCATCTAGTGGGTGGAGGCTGAGGTGCCATTGAACATTCTATGATGCACCAGATGGCTCTTCTAAGAACAATTATCCAGTCCAAAATATCAAGAGTACTGAGGTCAACACTGGCCTGTACTAGGTCAAGAAAATCTGCGATTTTTAACAAATAATGCTTTACAAAGATAGCTGTGCACTGAAAATGCTTTTAGCTTAGTGAGAGACACAGGAGAGTAAACAGGGATGATTCACAGTGTGTGTGCATGACCTGGGGAAGCATAGGGTGCTGAGGACCTCAAAGCCACAATAATCAATTGGGGAGGAGTTGAGGTGAGCAAGGAAACGTGGCAAAGGAAGTGGAGATGCAGGCTGAGACCACTGGAAGAGCTGGAGTCAGCCAGGTGGAAAAGGAAGTGCCCTGCCCCAGGCAGCTGGAAGCTATCATGCTCAGGGCCCAGAGACCAGGAATCTTCATTCCTTTGAGAAACTTAATTTAAGGAGTCTTAAGGCGGCACACAGGAAGTGACTGAGAAAGCAAAGCCAGGGTGAGAGGAAAGCAAAGAACAGAC